TCTCCAGTATGTTTGCAGTTGCCACAGCATTGGCATCAAATCCCCCCTAAAATTATAATTTCAATCAGGTTCCATAAGATGATTTATAAGAAATGAAGTGTTCAAAAATGCATTTGATTTCGATGATTCAAGAACATGAAAGGGAACGTATAGTCTGACCTCCAGCATAAACATGAAGTTCTAAAAACATATACAGAGCAAACTATTTAAACATATATATTTGCAATAAGGTATGTTTTTGACCCATTAGTCACTTACCTCTGACTCAGTTTTCCCGAAGTAGGCTTGTTTTCCTAGAAGATAGTCCACCTGAAAATATTCACATCAAAATGTTCGTCAGCTCACAAGTGTATTCATGGAATATGCTATTGAGACGAGTTCATTCAGTATGATATCATATAGAGTAGAAACAAAGTTTTGAGTTCGGATTCCGTCCCATATGTATCAGACCTATAAATATGAATATAACCCATATAAAGGATGCGTGTTGAAGATAATATATAGTTTAGATTTTTAGACGAGATGGTTCAGAATGATTACCTGGGAGAGGAAGTTTTCAGGGGAACCAAAGTCAGCGATAGATTTCTTGTCAGTAGGGGTGACCATAACGGAGACATTGCTGTTGGAATCGAAATTGTCCTCGTACCTCAGAACCTGACCAGGATACTCTCTTTCTTTGCTTGGATTCCACTTTGCGGGAATTGACAGCTTGAATCCGTCTCCAGCGTAAGGCAAGAAATCTGTGTTTTCCTTTGGCTTCCCAAAAATGTTAGCTGCAAGTTAATAATTCAAACTGTTCAATTAACATACTAAATCTCAAGTCACGCGCATATACATGTATGGATTTGAACTATTACCGGCTTGGCCGTAGGCTGCATCGGCAGGGGAAACCTTGGAGCCAATAGCAGCAGCACCAATTAAAACAGTGAGAGCCAATCTGCGAGAAATAGGCAAATCACTGGGGTCATCATCCAGTTTCTGGGCACGGCAAACTAACTGGCTAGGCTTGAGGGACGGTGCGAAACGTTGAGACGAAGATATGGTGCGAGTAGAGAGTACATTGGGATTCAAGAAGCATGCAGTTGTAGCCATTCTCTGTTCTTCTTTTGGCTTGTGATTGTGATTACTGTGTACGTGTGTGATATGAAGTGGGATAGCTTGTGTTGGCTGATGTGTTCCTTTGTGGGCGAAAATGGATGGCATGTACAAAGTGGATATTGAGAAGATTGGATTCTTGATGAAGGATAAGGTTTTTGAGGCTTTAATTGGTGCCAAACTGTCCCGATTTGAAAGTGTAATCTCCAAGTCATGAGCTTGGGTCCCATGAAATATTTTCTTTCTTTTGGATTCAATATGATCCATTGGATCAAGTTCAAATTAATTCTAGCAAGTCAAGAATTTGTCACATGAAAAGTCTAATTAGACATTATTAAAAAGAAAAGAAGTCGATATCTTACCCTTTATCCATTATCGTGTATCAAACATATATTAGGAATTACGAGGAATAACATGAACAATAAACCATTATATATTTCAATATCTCGAATTTTAATGCCAATATAAAGATCAGTAAATCGACTTATTTAAGTAAACCCCTAAGCTCATATTAGTTGCAGTACATTAGTGTGTGGAAGAAAAAGAACACCAATCATCATCTCCCACGCTAATATTCTGAAGGAATTTAGTCTGTTTCTCGAATTCACTCTATGCTTAGAACCAACAAATATGAACAAATAGCAGATAACATTAGATTACACACAGGAACTTCATTAGCACAGTAACGATCAAATCGACTGGGTTTACTTCCCATCTTTTCTTCAAACAAAAATATATATATTATAGCATTGTCCGTCCTAGCTAACTCTTCGTAACCAGAAGCTGTTTGCCAAATGTGTCAATGTTCGCCCTTGATAACCGCCTTTCCTAATCTTCACATCTGCTACTGTGATTTTTCAAATTATCCTGGATGAAGTGAAAAAGAATGTAAGCATTCATCAATAGGCACATTACTTGAACAAAATACCTAATTAAGTTTAAGAATGGAATTTATTTATGATCATATACATACAGAAGTGGCTAAACCTTTACAAAATCGGAAGAGGAAAAGGACTTGAGTATAGGTTAGTGCTTCAGTGTCGGTTTAATCATATGATAATAATTTTCAAATCAAAATGAGGCTACAGAATGTATCTACTTGATACAAATACCATACCACAAATAACAAAATGGTTCAAAATCGTTTATTTTTTTCCATGTGGTTTCCTAGAATGTAAATGTTGCTATGATGGCCATACTTTTCATAATTTGGCTGCTTATAGAGCATTATATATGAAAATTAGAGGAGACAAAATTGGTAAAGAGAATTAAAGGACAAGATTATCATAGACAAGTAGCAATTTGAAAGAAACATGTACAGGGTACAAAGAGCCAAACCCAGCTAATTGCATTTCTTCCTTAACAATATTTCAAAAGACAGAGGAACTTACCTCAAATGGTTTCAGAAGAATCTCCTCCCTGTATTACGGTCACCATCATCATTGTCATCACCAAAGCGACTTGACCTGGTATTGTTTTTAGAATTTAAATCACCAAATCCACTGGAACGACCTGAACCAAAATCCCCGAAACCACTTGAGCGACTTGGACCACCAAGGTTTCCAAAGCCACTGTTCCGATCTGAACCACCCCGGTCTCCAAACCCTCCTGAACGGCCAGACCCAAAACCACCAAAATTGCCTGTGCGACTTGAACTTGGTCCACCAAATCCACCACCTGATCGACCAGAACCAGGTCCACCAAAATGACCACCCCTAAAATTACCAGAGCCACCAGAACGGCCAAATCCTAAATCACCAAACCGACCACCTCCTGTGTTTTTATTAGAACCAAAACCACTCCTACCACGTTCCATGTCACGGTACATGTCCATAGCTCCCTCTTCAACAGCAATCCTCGGGAGCTAACACACCAGGATAATTATATACTAGTCAGTTTAATATGATCCAAACCACAAAATGCAAACAATGTCGAATATATCTGCTTGGCATATTCCTTTTCTTTGGGTGCTCAATTTTAAAGTCTCGCTCTTTTCAGTTAGAATTCATTCTTAAAACAGTATGACTACTAGATAATTTTTGAGATTTCAAAAGGCCAGCCCCAAATTTACTGGCAATAAGCCTAAGATTGTTATTCGTTGTTGTTACCTAGCTTCAAAGCATATCGCAAGTTTAATTTAACCAAAAAAAGGAAAAAAAAAGAGCTAAATAAGGAAATCAGAGCAACATTCAAACAGAATAAGCACGGAACCATTTACCTCAACAAACCGGGTTCCAACTTCACGTTCTATAGCCTTGACGTCCCTGTACTGATGGGATGAATAGATGAGAATTGCACTACCTTTTTTCCCAGCACGGCCAGTTCGTCCAGATCGATGCACAAAAAGCTCTGAAGAGTTTGGAAGTTCGTAATGTACCACCTGAACGGAATAACATTCAATCTGAACCCATATACAGGAAAAAACACTGGAGAAGAGAATATACTACAAAAATAAACCTTACTTGCCATCAATTAAACCCCTAGGCAAGAAAAAATCACTACTACACATTATATGCTTAAGAATCTCAAGTCTGAAGCATCATTATCAACTATGCATTTATCTATGTTGACTACAAAGTCCAAATCCATATCACCATGTCGCAAGGGGAAAAGAATAGCATCATGAAATTCATGAACTACCTTGCGAATAAAAGGATCATACGACTCAAACTTTAGGAAGCGTCAAAGGTCTGTTTAAATGTAATAATGCAATTAAATGTAAAACCATAATACAACAAGAAGCTAATGCGCTAATTTAAAGCCAAGTGAAGCAACAACGGTTTCAATAGGACACTAATAAAAAGAAAACAGCTGGCAATTTATCTGTTATTTTTTCTTCATTAACCTCCACGGTAACTCATGCTTTACAGGCAAATCATGTATAAGAATGAAAATGATGAAAGAAATATCATACACACACCAGATCGACATTTGGTACGTCAAGGCCACGAGCAGCTACATCGGTAGCCACTAAAATATTGAAACGCCCATCTCGGAAACCAGACAGAGTTCTTTCCCTTTGGTTTTGTGAGATATCTCCATGCAAGGCTTCACATTTGAAGTTTCTTTGCATGGCATACGCTAAAACATCAGCATCACGCTTTGTTTGGGTAAAAACAATACATTTACCTCCTTTTCCATGCTCCTGATAAGAAAGATACAACATGGTGGTCAGGAGAGGAAACTGATAATGGCAATAAACAAAAAAAAATCATAGAAACGATGCAGTAACCAGATTGAAGGTACAATTGAAGAAGATGAATGAAATGAACTTTAAATTCATACAGTTATTAGAGATCCAATAATTGCTGGTTTCTCACGCATATCTGCTGCAATTGCATACAAGGAAATCCCTTCAGCTAATTTCTGATCAGAATCTCCCACCTGCAGTACATATTTGACTTCGATAATTACATGCAGCAAAAACATTATTGAACACAAAGAATTCCAAGCAATAAACAATTTTTGATTAAGGACTAATAACATAAACAGAGGTCTACACTCACAAGATCAACAGTAACCGGATTCTTTAGGAATTTTTGCGTAAGCTTTAATATCCATTTAGGCATGGTAGCTGAAAACATCATGGTCTGATGCTTCTGAGTCATGTATCCCAAGATAGTCTCAACGTCGTCAGCAAATCCCACATTAAGCATTTGATCAGCTTCATCTAGAACGGTAAACTTCACTTCTGATAAATTCAAAGCACCCCTCTTGATCAAATCAATAACTCGTCCAGGGGTGCCAACAATAATATCAACGCCTTGGTCAAGAGCACTCATTTGGCGCATAATGGGCACACCCCCATAAACACATAGAGTATCTAAGCCAGGAGCAGATTCATAGAATTCTTTATCCACTTGACGTGCAAGTTCTCTAGTTGGTGCCAAGATTAAGGCCAAAGGATTCCTTCCTCGTCTGAATGACGGAAAATAAGCAGAAATGTTATGCTCTTAAAAGAAATACGTAACTTTTAACATCAGATGTTCAAAACAGGATGACACAAAATAGTTATAATCAAGGAGAACGAACCCGTGCTTCTCGTTGTATTGAATGATCTTATCCATTATTGGAATACCGAAAGCTAATGTTTTTCCAGTTCCAGTTCTTGCTCGACCTATCATGTCGCGCCCCTGCATTGCTGGTTCTAGAACAGCTCTCTGTACCCAGAGAGAACGGAAGTTAATCCTTTCTTTAACCCTCAAAGAATAAGATTTAAAAAAATATATAAAAATGAAGTCTTTGATCAACACAAAAAGAGATCAAAATCAATAAATAGAAGAGGGAAAAAAAATATAAAATCCATATAGTTTTCTTAAGTATCAAGTATCCTTAACCCATGACTCGGGTTTTACACTCATATTATGATTCTTTGTTTTCTTTTCCTTATCATTTCCATTTTGCAGCTTGAAAATTTATTGCTTAATCTCGAAATTAGACCATTGCTGACGACAAGAATGAGGAATTTCTTAAATACAAATGTAAGCACGAAAGCATAAAAATCCAAAAGATTCAGCCCCTAAACGTATTTACAATGAAAAATGTCATAAATTCCAGCTAGAAAATGAAAATTGAGATTTCCTAATGTGCATAAAAAGTTTCCTCTATTCATCATACCTGAATGGGGAAGAGTTTAGTGATACCCTTACTGGCCAAAGTAGAGACAATCTCTTGCGAAATCCCAAGCTTCGCGATTTCGAGCCCATCGTCCTCAACCCCACTGGACGCTCTCCTATCATCCGCATCAGAGAAATCAGCCACTGCATACTCAGCCCGTAAGGCCCGGCCGGCGTGAAAACATCTTGTAGCTGAACGCAACGGTGCAGATGAAGGCACTGGTGCATTTTCTCTGGAACTGGTGACATAATTTTGAATTTTGGGAGAAATAAGGGAATTTCTGGGAATCAAATTCTCAGAGAATAGACTGTTGAACGCAGAGAGAGCAAGCCTTTTGGATGAGGAAGATTTCCTCAGTAGAAATAAGCTGCTCATTTTCGATTTCTTCTGTTTCTGTTAGGAGAAAAAATGAAAGTGAAGACTAAACCCTAGGGGTTTATCAAATAGGCACAATGGCAATTGTTTGACGGAGTCGTAGCATCCGATTCTAATCTAGGGTTGTAGTGAGTGTATTCAAGATATGAGCCGTCGTTGAGTCACTGAACTTAGATTTAGGTTATGTCTTTATTAATCATTGAAGTTTAAAATATTGAATTCTGATCATTGAACTTAAGTTTATGTCTTTGATTATTCATTAAATTTTAAAATATCGAGTTTTGGCCATTGAACTTTGAAAAATATTGTACATTAGTCACTGAATTTTGAAAAATGCTGCATATTTTTAACTGTAAACACGATATTTTTTAAATTTCAAAAGTTATATTAATGAGTAACGTATGATATGTTCCAAAGTTCAGTGGTCAAAACTCGACATTTTAAACTTCAGCGAACAATCTAAGATATTGATGTAAGTTCGGTGAGCAATCGAAAATATTGACCTAAATTCAATGACCACGTGACTCACGCTATAAAACTATAATAATTTGAAAACGTGTCTTTCAATCCAAAGACATTAGTATGACCTTCGTTTCACAACGTAGAGATTACACAAAAGATTAGTTATGCTATAGCTAATAGGCGTTGGAATGCAATTGAATGGTAAAATATGAAATATAATTGAAGTTCAACGCCTGTTTGATGATCATTATTTGGGAAAAATAGAGTTTTGAATCGTAATTTTTAAGAGAATATGTGGTTAAAAAATAGAAAAATTTTGAATGTACGTGTCAAATATTTTATTGGATAAATGTGCAATTAAAAATGGATATATAAAAAGGAGTTTAAAAATTAGTAATGTCTCAATAATGACAATATAGCTTAATGACCTATTTGAGATTTCTCTGAAAGCTCGAGAATCACTAATGAAAGTTACCCTATTTCAATTCTTAGGGTCCGTTTGATTGTAAAGATGGAATTTGGGTAGAAAGAAAACGAATTTCAAACAATTGAATTGCCTAGAAACTATTTTTCTGAGAATTATAAATTATTGTGTTTGATTGGTATAATTTTTCACGTTGAATATGTTGAAATAAAAGTGTCTTTTGGTATTCATTTGACTTTGTTTTACATGAAAATCGTCAATTAAAAAAAGATAGATTTTACTGGTATTAGCGGATGAGATTTGTTTCCATTGCCAACAACCAAAAAATAAAGATAAAAAAATCAATACTATCATCCATCTTTTGGTGTTCGTTTGGCTTTGTTTTATATGAAAATTGTCAATTAAAGGAAAATATTTTTTTTACAATAATTCTTAGAATTTGTTTCTATTGAAAAAAAAAATAAAGAAGACAAAAAAAAAAAAATTTGCCTAGAATTCCAATTCTTACCATACCCATAAGAATTGTGTTGGGGATCCAAGAGACCACCTTAAGGAACCAACAAAAATGGAGGAGAGTTTCTGTCGAGCCACACACGAGAAAATGACCAGCCTGCCTCTTTTAAAATAACCCCCACCCAACCGAAGACACTGCCCTCTTACACAAAACGTAGGGTAAGTAATATGTTAGGTGAAAAATTGGTCAAAGCTTCTCCCACAAGATTAAATCTCAATCATTGATCTTCATCCAATGGTTCACAAAAAACTTAAATAAAGTGGGTTAAGAGAACCATATTCTCACATTCTTCACCTTGGTTCTCATAACACTCTCTCTTGGTTGTGAATTTGCACATGGAAGAACTGTTCATCACATCGCCCACCACCTGCAAGAAAATTAACCAGTGTCAATATGTAATAAAGATAAGCACAATCTAAATTTACTTGCAGGTAGAATTTTTGTTCCCATATCAGAGGGATTCCTATCAGTGTGAATTTTAACAAGATTAACTTCACCTTGAGACAATTTCTCACGTATAAAATGATATTTCACCTCAATATGTTTAGTTCTTTCATGATAAACATGATTCTTACAAAGCAATAAAGCACTTTGACTATCGGTAAACATAACAAGTGTATCATGCATGAAGTTCAATTCTTTTAAAATTCCTTTTAACCAAGTACGTTCCTTAACCGCTTCGGTTATGGCAACATACTCTGCCTCAGTACTTGACAAGGTAACTAAAGGCTGCAGCTGTGATTTCCATGTTATACAATTGTCACCTAGTGTAAAAAAGTTTGTTGTGGTAGACTTTCTGCTATCCTTGTCACAAGCAAAATCAGAGTCTACATACCCCTTTAGAGTAAGTTTTTCAGATCTCTTTTCATACACTAGACCCAGATTTAATGTACCAACAATGTACCTGAACAACCATTTCAAACCTGCCCAATGAGGCTTTCCTGGGTTTGACATAAATCTGCTCAAAAAACTTATAGCATAGGCTAAGTCAGGCCTGGTTGTTATCATAGAGAACATGACGGAACCTATAGCATTAGCGTAGGGTATGTTCCTCATTTCTCTAAATTCCTCCTCAGTCTTAGGAGATTGTGCACCAGAAAGATTCATATGAGCTACTAAGGGAACGTTCACAGATTTTGATCCATTCATACCAAATTTAGTTATGACTTTGTTTAGATAGGCTTCTTGGAAAATGACTAGTCTATTTTCAGCCCTATCTCTCTTTATAACCATCTCCAAAATCTTCTTAGCACTCCCCAAATCTTTCATATCAAATTCTGATTTTAAAAGGTTCTTCATCTTAGTGATTTCAGTCTTACTTGAACTTGCTAGAAGCATGTCATCTACATACAGCAACAAGTAGACCTCACAGCCCTCCTTACTATCATTATAGTACAGGCATGCATCATATTCACTCCTTTTAAAACCTATTTTCAGTACATAGGTATCGAGCCTTATGTACCACTGTCTAGGGCTTTGTTTAAGCCCATACAGAGATCTTTCTAATTTGCACACACAATTAGTTTTACCTTTCACCTCAAAATCTTGAGGCTGACTCATGTAAATATCTTCCTCCAATTCCCCATGTAGGAAAGCAGTCTTGACATCTAGTTGTTCCAATTCCCAGTTGTACTGAACAACCAATGCAAGAACCAGTCTGATTGTTTTGTACTTTATCACAGGAGAGAATATCTCATTGTAATCAACCCCCTCCTTTTGAGTGAACCCTTTCGCCACTAATCTGGCCTTATACCTAGGAGGATCACTAGGATTATTTCCTTCTTTCAATTTGTAAATCCACTTACATTGAACTATCCTATGATCCTTAGGTTTGTTAACTAACTTCCAAGTTTTATTCTCCATTAGAGATTCCATTTCTTCCTGCATAACTTTTAGCCAATTTTCAAAATATTTTCCATTAACAGCTTCTTCATAACTAGCAGGTTCTATCTGTTCAAGGGCTTCACCTGAAACTAAGGCAAAATCAGTCAAGTTTAGGGATTCATATCTAGGATTTGGCCTGATCTGCCTCCTCCCCCGATCCCTAGTAAGCTGATAATCTTGATTAGGTGGCTGATCATTAAAATGTTCAACTTCAACTGGTTCAATGTTATCTTGAAGTTCAGTCACCTCTTCATGTTCAGGTTCAGGTTCAGGTTCAATTTCATTTTCATGATGTATAGGGTCATTTTCGTCATTCCCAGGTGTAGGTGAATTTAGCCTAGTTAGCTTCACCTCAGACTGAATACTCTTCTCAGTTTCAGATTTGTTAGCTTCTTCCGTTTTCTGTTTTAGACATGGCATCTCAGATTCATTAAAGACTACATTCCTGCTGTTAATAATCTTAATGCCTTAGACCCCTAAAACCCATAACCTATAGCCCTTCACACCCTCGGGATACCCTAACATCACACACCTGACAGCCCTGGGCTCAAGTTTCCCTTCAGATTGATGTGCATATGCAGCACATCCAAACACCCTCAAGTGTTCCAGATTTGGAGGCTCTCCCGTCCACAACTCCTGTGGGGTCTTAAACCCTATACTGCTGGACGGAGACCTATTAATCAGATAAGCTGCAGTACTTGCAACTTCAGCCCAAAAACCTTTCGCAAGGCCAGAGCTAATCAACATACACCTAACTTTGTTCATTATGGTTCTGTTCATTCTTTCAACGACCCCATTTTGTTCAAAATGTGACCCATTCTGTTATGCCAAAGTTCAGTTTTGTCTTTACTCACAGCAAGAAGGCTAGAATCAAATGGTATTTCAGTTCTACCCTCAAGATAGTACAACCCATTCCTCTTGGGCCCTTTCATAACTATAAGAGAACCCTTCATAAGTTTCAAAATCTTGTTACCAGACTTGAAGGTATATCCCTCATCTTCCAGAGAACCTAATGAAATGAGGTTCCTCTTTAAATTTGGGACATATCTAACATTTCTAAGCTGCGTGACGGCCCCATCGTACATCCTGATGGCCATGTCACCAATTCCAATCACATTTTGAGAATTATTGTCTCCCATGTAGACCTTCCTAGGTTCAGTCTTCCTATAGTTATAAAATCAAGACTTATCAGGGCACATATGGAAAGTGCACCCTGTGCCAAGAATCCAATTTTTGCATAACTATAAGAGAACCCTTCATAATTTTCAAAATCTTGTTACCAGACTTGAAGGTATATCCCTCATCTTCCAGAGAACCTAATGAAATGAGGTTCCTCTTGAAATTTGGGACATATCTAACATTTCTAAGCTGCGTGACGGCCCCATCGTACATCCTGATGGCTATGTCACCAATTCCAATCACATTTTGAGAATTATTGTCTCCCATGTAGACCTTCCTTGGTTCAGTCTTCCTATCAAATTCTTCTTCAGACACATTCTTGACATGCAAACTATTAAATTCAGAAGCAATAGCAGCATTATCAACATCAGAATTGTTCGGGTCTTTTTGTTTCCTTTTCCAATCAAAGCAGTCTTTCTTGAAATGTCCTAACTTTCCACAGTGATAACATTTCTTACCGCTTTTATCTTTAGATTTGGATCTCATTTTAGATTTTCCTCTCCCCTTCTTGTTATGGAAGTTGAATTCTTTCTTTTCAAATCTTCCCCTAACAAATAGACTCTCTTCACGAGATTGAATTCTATTATCTCTTTTTAATTCAAGTTCTCTTGATTTTAAAGCATCAGAAACAATAGCTTGAGTGAGAGTGTCCCTACCATACTTTATGGCATTTTTCATTTCTCTGTAAGATTCGAGCAAAGAGTTTAGCAATATGTCAGCTAAATCCTCATCATCAAATGTTTTATCATTATGAGCTAGACTCTTAACAATTATGCTAAAGTCACTCAAATTCCCCTCGACATCCTTCCCCTGGTCCATCTTAAAACTAAACAACTTCTCCAACAGGTATATTTTGTTAGGTAAAGTTTTAGTTAAAAATAGGGCATCTAAAGCAATCCACAAAGTTCTAGTAATTTTAGCATTATCAACTTGTCTCACAATGTTATCAGATAGATGCAAAATTATAGAACTGTAAGCAATTTCATTCATGTCTTCAATTTCAATTGGTTTAGCTTTTAACTCATCAGAAAATGTAGCGGGATCATCAAGAGCTTTAGCAACTCTCTGTTGGACCAAAATGGCCCTCATTTTCTGTTTCCATATCGAGTAATCCCCCTTTCCATCGAATTGCGATAAGTCGACCCTCGAACCCATTATAGATTCTATAAAAGAGTGGCCTGTACTCGTAGACACAACAGAAAAGGTTTTGAAAAATTCTTTTCCAGATGATCAATATAAAACTGAGTACCGAGTTAAAAAACAATTTTTAGCAATGAAGCACAACAGTGAAATAATCCGTTCACGAAACACAGGTATATAAAGCAGGTAAATATGCTTCCAGGTTACAAATTAATCACAAGAATTCAATCAACAGAATTCACAAATAAGCAACCAAGCAATAACCATGCATAAACCGGTAAGGATACCAAACCTAACCTAACGGAGAGTTTGGAATAATCTTACCAAACTACTGTTGACAAACAGTAAATATACCACCAAGTTTTTGAACCAAATTGCCGTAGACGTCAAGCTAGGGGCAAAATCGTCCAACTTTTTTTGTAAAATCTGAAACAGAAAACAAACGACATCGGTGCGTTCAGGACGTCAAAATAAGTAAACTGCTCGAAAAGAGCTCGCCGGAGGTCCGGCCACGCTCCGCCACCCGAGCCTCCGCCGCCGGTCACGCGCCCCACCACAGGGTGCGCCTCCTCCTGCTGGTCATGGTTCCATGGTCCATTTCGCCGGAAGTCAATAGGTTGACTGGAAATCAAGTTTTCAGATTCGGTCAGAAAGTGGTAATGGCGATTTCCTTGCTGGTTTTTGATCGGTTTTGGACTAATATCACTCCTCCAAACTCTGATACCAGTTTGTTGGGAATCCAAGAGACCACCTTAAGGAACCAACAAAAAATGGAGGAGAGTTTCTGTCGAGCCACACACGAGAAAATGACCAGCCGGCCTCTTTTGAAATAACCCCCACCCAACCGAAGACACTGCCCTCTTACACAAAACGTGGGGTAAGTAATATGTTAGGTGAAAAATTGGTCAAAACTTCTACCACAAGATTAAATCTCAATCATTGATCTTCATCCAATACAAAAAACTGAATAAAGTGGGTTAAGAGAACCATATTCTCACAAATTGGAATTCCACGAAAACAAGAAAAAGTGGCGCGTGGGGTGGAAACGTGGAATACCAATTCCATGGTAAATATATGCCATCAAAGAAGGATAAATCTAGAAAGTGGAAAACTTTCCATGAAATTCTTAGCCAATCAAACAAGCCATTATATTATTAGTCGTGGCAACAGGCCGGCTAGCGAGCCCGGGCTTTGGGTCAAACGGTTCATGAGCTTTTTGCATTTTTTTAAACTTAAATATACGAAAAATTGATTATTAATTTACAAACTACAAAATTAAGTTATGCAAGTTCATAAATTTTACAAACTAAGTAATCGTTAAAATTAAAAGGTGGGCCACAACGAGCCCACATATGAGCTGGTCCATATTTGGACTCGTGCTCACAGGTGACTTGGGATTGAGCCATATCTCATTTTTTTTTGGGTTGTATTTTAAAATGTCAGCTTTGTTAAAAAGATAGCTACCACTCTTATATATTATTTAATATTTTCATCTTTATTCAATGATAAATTTAAGGGACAAATGAATTCAAAAATTTATTTCTTTAGAGATGGCAAATTTTCCACCCTAGAAATGTCCCACGTTGCGCTGCCCCAAAGAGCAAACGGGAGGGACAAAAACATGGTCCTCGCCTCTTATTTTTATCATTTAAAATACAATTTATTTAATAAATTAATTAAACAGGACGTAATAAGGAGGTTTTTCATCCCCGCTCCTATCTGACACCCATCCCGTCTCCCGAAAATCCTCCAATAGATTGAAAATGGTGATAGTTGTCTAATCATATCATGTTCCATTATCATTTTTAATGTATTCGAACGAGTCATTATGTATGAATATGCATTTAGACTTGTAACTTCACCAATGGAATATCCATCGGTAACTGCCAGAGGAACGGGACTCTTAGACGACATTCACTTGGATGGATATGAACAGATCCTATAGCTTCACAATGATCCCGGACGGAAAGGAGTTCTGGGTTGGGATTGAGGTTGTAGTTCCGAATCATATACCAAAGGAATTTTAATCATTTGGTATAAATTAGGACTGCTATAAATTCTAATTAAGTTTTGGGGAAGTACATATCTTCCTGTTTCTTTCTTTTTAGCAAAAAGGCCTTGTATCCATAACGCTAATTCTTGACCAATTTTCAAAATGGCATATGAAAAATGTACAGTCTTTACAATTTCCTATTTATAAAAATGGAGTATCAAAATTAGACATTTCACACATTTTCCTCTACTCTATGATATACTATATACAATCATTACTCCTTGCTCGACGCACATACAACCATATATTAAGGGCCTATCTGAGCCCCATCTTTTTTAAAAATTGCATTTTGCAATAGCATCACAATGAAAAATGTATGATTAAAGAATAAGAAAAACTTCAGGTTTACGTGCAATGTTATTTTATTGAAAATTGTGCAATTAAAATGAAGTCAAATCACTATTAAAGAATGTATTTTGATGAAAAAAATGAAATTCAAACAAGGGCTAAATATATCTTAAATACTTTCCACTACCCAATAATCAATAAGGGGAAAAATCTAGAAATGCTAAAGTTAAGCGTAATCTAAGTTTGAGACTTGACCATAGCCAACTCGTAATTCAAACGTCCATATCCACGACTCCACAATGAAGTCATTTATTTGAAATAATAGTTTCATACAAGCATGCTAAACAAAATAGTTTCATACGGGTTGTTTTGTTCAGCGACAAAACACCATAGTTCCTATAATAGCTTAATACAATATCATAATTCAGTGGTCCATAATATGATAAGGGAAGATAGACTATACACATCATCTGATGCTTTGATCATTCTTCGGGAAATCTTTTGATTTCCACTATTTCTCACAAAACAGTCAGCATAATATGTTAGCCACTACCCATGTCACAATGGTTAAGGTTTACATTCGCGATATCAATAAAGGAACAGAGAAAGGATTCTCCTCACCCATGACTGGCTGGAACAAATCCAACTCTCCATACCGCTCCAGAACACGCATTCTGCAGTCTTCAGCGGCCATTAATCCAGTGGAGTATGCACCATGGACAGACCCAGGGTACTCCGTACTTGTAGCTTCCCCGGCAAAAAAAAGGTTGTCTACAGGAATCCTTAGCCTCTCGTACAGATCGTGAGGTTTCCCTACTGTATCATAGCTGTAGGAGCCTAGCGAGTTTTTGTCCGTGCCCCAGTGAGAAACAAGATACTGTATCTGCATTATACACGAGGGGATTGGGAGTGTCAGAAACTGAGTCTTTATCTGCACTGTTTCACCCCATGTTATCTAGACATTATAAGATTTCCTAACAAGAAAATTAAGTCCCCATTTGAGTCCCATTTTTGGTGGGAAATAAGTTCTATAATAGTGACTTTTTGGCGAATGTGTGGTTAAAAAGTAAGGATAAGTTCAGGATTTGCTTGCAAAATTATTTTACAGGAGTGTGTATGGTTGAAAATTTGAAAAAAAAAAAAAAGAGTTATTAGATAATGGGGCTCAAACAGAGGGTCATTATGATTCTCATCTATTGATCTAGTTATGTAGTCTATGGGTCAAGAGTTTATGAAATACCCATCAAAATATATAACGAATATCAGTAAGGAAAAAAAAAAAGTCAGTTTCTGAATTCTAGGATACACTAAGCAATGCACCATGGTTACAAATATGCATAAATAAGTTGATTCTAGAATTGACATTTAGACAGTTAGTGATTTTCTATCACAGATTCAAGAACTCCACTGTTTCTAGGATTAAAAAAGTTTTGACAGTTAACGCTTTTCCATCACTGAGGTGAATAATTCAACATTGTTTTAATAATCCATTTTCGCTGACCAAAAAATTAGTAGATCTTACCCATCAATCAAATAATATACAGATTGAGCCTTTCCCTTTGATATCTAATGGACAAATTAAAACAATAGATGCAGGGGAGAAGAAAAGAATGAATGCGTGTGCTTTTTTATAAATGGTACAACATAGGAAGATTTCATCCAGAAAGGAAAAAGACAATAGATAAAATACAACACTTTTAGGCGCATTTATCATAAAACATAATAGATTTGAAATCCAAAGGATTCACTGATTTTCCAACACTAAAAACATATAAGGTTCCACAACTTGTGGTGGCATATGTACACGGGTATATTAAGTTGTGATCTCTCCTTACGAAGTTAAAGCCTACTCTAGGTGGTGCTTGAAGTTCATCCTTTTGTCATAGAATTCTTCTGGCATGTCAATTTCCCCTTCTCAAAATAAAGCTACATATCCTATCTTTCCTAGTCAAGAATGTGCTCACAAGAAATATCCAGGATTAGGGTATTTGGAGTATTTTATTCAAGCACAACGCTTTTAGTGTATGAGACAAGGAATGGGTCAAATAGCAAGTTATAAATTTGGAGTAGTCAAGTCGTAGACCAAAATTAACATATTTGTTGTGGTCACAGGCAAATATTTTAGCGTATTGGATCTTCCAAGTGCATGTAGCAATGAAAATGAAATGGGCAAAAAAATCCATGCAGCCGGTCATCACCAAATTTATCTGCAAACAATGCTTAGTTTCTTCTTGTGTATGTGGAAGCACACGTACATAAATTTTATGGATGTCTGTGTTGCCAGTAGATGTAGGCACATGGCATTTACAGAAGCATAAGACGTAATATTTCCAGTACAAGGCATCTGAAACAGTTCTTAAGTCGCACAAAAGCAAAATTAGCATAAAATGTAACATTACCGGTGCAGAAGCATTTGGAAGGATTCTTTTAAGCTGTGTGAAAGCAAAATTAGCAGCAGCCTCATCCGACATTTTCTCTATATCACGGGCTAGTTGCCCAGCAGGCATGTAAACAAGGACAGAATGTCCAGTGGCCTTGTGTAGATTAAGAAAATAACTGCACTCATAAGTAGTCCCAGCAACAACTCCCAAGAACTCTACATTGGGCCAAAAAACCTTTTCAAAGTGCAAAATTATCTTGTTTTCAATCCCAACCCCCAGATCATTGATGGCTGCTTCCTTCCATTCAGGTAATCTTGGCTCAAATTTGATGCAATTTGATTTCAGAACACCGAGAGGAACAGCAACAATGGCAGCATCAGCTATAAATGTTCTCCCATCTTCAACTGTTACTTTCACTCCATTATAACGTCTAACTATTTTGGTTACTCTAAGAAGTGCACAAACAAAATCAAGGCTATAAGTTAACAAATCAGTTAGGTACCAGGAGAAAAAGGAGTAAATCTCAGAATGAATAATTCTCTCACCTATGGCCCAGCCTGATATCAAGACCTTTAGCGAGCGTATTAATGACCGGAATATAGCCCCGGATCATAAGTCCATGCCCACCTGGAAGCAATTCTTCCTGTTTATCAAAGAGAATAAATGAGATGATGTAGAAACTATGAATCAAGCAAGCAGCAAATGCTCTTTGCTTCCAATTTATCCTTGATATGTAGAAAAATCCCATGTTTTCCGGTTATTTCCAGACGATTTTTCGGAATGTAACCATCTTTTGAGTGTTTGGGTGAAAGAAAAAGACGAAAATATTGAAACCACTCATGAACCATTTATATGTTCACCAAAAGAATCTACATACGTGAGTATAGAAATACAAAGAAATGGTTAAAGAAAACCATCATTTAACTCTTGAGTTGTAGAACCAACCTGGTCCCAGCATTTGAGAGAGATGGTATCAGCATCTGCCGCAAACCACCCTTCCATTCTGCATATATACCATTGCAACACCTTATGAGCAAGTCCCTCCAACCTGTAAAGAGAAATTATTTCTTTTATTTATTTAGTCCGAAAGAAAATAAAAAATATAGCGCCATAGTTTGTAGCATTCATAACCTCAAATCTGGTCTCCTTTCGAAAACAATTGAGATTGCACGGAATATAGACATGTCCTCGCTGAATTCTTGTCTTACTACATCTGTCTGTGGCAAATGAAGAGGAAAACAAGTTCTTTTCCATGAGAAAAATTGTAAAAGATCAGTGCAAGCCCTAATCTACAAATAATTTTAAATTATCAGGCAACTTAGCTAAGAAGGAAGTGAGAGAGGGAGGAACAGAAGAAGAAGAGAACATACCTCTTTCAAAATGCTCTCAAATGTCTCACCAACCTTCGAGACCAATTCCTGAGGAACTTGATTTCCTTCCATATCAAACAGGCCATAACTGAAAAAGAAAATATAATATAAATACATACAAACATACATATATGTGCGTGTGTGTGATATCAGCTGCCAACTGATATTCGACTTGTACAGTTGGTTTGACATTAAAAAAAGAAAAGAAAAAAAAAATCAGATTGATAAAACATAAAAAGTTCTCACCCATGTTCACTTCTATTTTCTGTCAAAAAGAATATCAAAGAATTGTGACTTATTCTTACGTGTAAAATAAACTATCTCAGTCATTACTGCCTTAATGTAAAATATGCTTGAATGAAATACAAACCATCACAATGATTACTGTTGAGTTAATGACAAAGTGACTCATTTATATTTCTGTCTATAAATGATGGCAAGCTTAACAAAATTATTTGTCCAGAATAGCAACATGGATGCTTTAAAAAATGAGAGATCAAAACTAAAGCCTATTTGAATACCTCTCTAAGTCATGATCATAGAGAACCGAATTGTCGCCACTAGTTCGATAGAGGGGAAGTCCCAGTCTTCCAATAACAGGCGCTAGTGGATTCTCCTTGCAAACACCGTGTAACCTTAAACATGGACATGAAAATAATAATTGGCAGGAACAATGGACATCTAAAAATTTGAGGAAAAAAGCAGAACAGGCTTTCATAAGAACGAAATAATTGTTACCATGATGCACCCAAGTCAACAGGGAAACCAAAAGAGTAATCGGTGTGAACTCGACCCCCAATTCTCTCCCGTGATTCCAACAGGACAACCTACGAATTTTATTATGAAAATTGAAAATTTTCTAAACAAAATCCTTTTGTTGGTATCATATATTCAGAGATATCTAGTACATACCCGAAAAGAAGCATCATGAAGAGCTCGTGCAGCTGCAATGCCAGCAGTGCCACCACCTATCACGATGACAGATGGTGAGGCACTATCCCTCTTTTCAACATCCGAATAGCAAATAGCTACACACGACAAAACCAACCTCAGCTATAGACAAAGAAGCATATTATTTTATATATATTCTGCATACGGATATCCTTATACGTGTTAGTTCATATACATGTATTAAAATCAACTTGGACACTGACAAATAGCTCAATAGATTAAAATGTACTTGAAGTATATTCTAGTCACAGTATGCCTTAAGCTCTACAGTCAACTTCGATAATCCGCCCCATCTCCCCTGAGCATCTCCCCAGCATAACAATTACCAAGAAAAAAACAAATTGCAAAATAGAAAAATTAAGCATTGACAAATACTGTCCAAGATATCCACATAGATTATAGTTACAAATACAATACCATCCAAGGGTCTTAGGTCGTCTTTTAGTACAATAAAGTCTAGCTACCCGTGCAACCCCATATAAAATTGAATTTAGACTTTAGAGCATAAATAAGATTAAGTTTTTAAAAACATGAGTGTAGCATGTTAGTGGGACCTTACCACAAAAAGGTTAGCAACTCACCCACAAGGAAACCATATTGATAAGAAAAAGTTGGAAGATTTGCATGGGTTGTAATGAACATCATCAAAAATATAATATTTCTCAATAAAACAACTGTAGAAAGAAAACAAATCAATAGAATGACAGTAACGAAAACTTAATACTAAAATGATAAACCAGTACTCAGAAAAGATATATTGGAAAAATAAGTGTATGGGATTCCTGCATGAAGAAGGAAAAACAAGGATATGAATCAAATTATAAATTAATATGTAAAATATGCATGATGAAGAATATGACAACAGAAGTTTTTCTACTGGCCAGTACCATCTGAATTGCCCCAGACCAGCCAATATCCTTACTTGGCCCAATATTATCTTAAATATCAGTGTCTCATTCTTCCCAAAAGAGGTTTTCCGACGGGGACGTTGAGGTGATCCGTTAAGAGGTGAATTATATATTTAATTATCATTAACAGGAAAATGCCCGCAGGGGGACATATTTCTCAATTTCTTAAAAGGCAAGAGACCAAATGTCTAATTCAATTCTGAGGGACAACTGAAAATCCACCACTATAGCATCATAGGAATAATTTGAATCTACAATCAACTCAACTATGGTTTCCAATGCATGTGATCTAGGAGCAGACTCCCTGAGATCACCAAGATTTTGTGATCCACTGCAAATTTTATACAAATTCCAAAGACTCGGACCAAACTAATTCAATTAATGATGGGAATAAAAAGGTTGTATTATTGGAGATATCAGGCTTAGAGCTAGTAATTAATTCTATGGACCAAGTATCTATCTAAAAAAATTTAGAAAATATATATCCATGAAAAGAAATTGAGAGACTATTTATAAAAATTTTAGAAATTATTGGTTCGGAGGCTCTTTGTTAATTCTCGAGCACATCTTGGTCTTTTCAGAAAAAGGAAAGATGAAAGCTATGAGACATCTAAAAATGTTCAAAGAAGTTTCTTAAAACTTAAAATTGATAAAAAATGATGATGATATATCACACTAAATTGCACATTTTCCATGCTTGATCAAGTTCATATTAATATTAATAAAAATGATATGAATATATCAAGCTGAATTGCACGCGTTCCATGCTTGATCAAGTTCATTGTCTTTAAATAGGCGAAAAAACTACATTTCATTTTCTTCCAACGAATGTTGAAGCTATGTTTCCATCTGATAGTTTTTTGCCCTCACTGATGGATCTCTATCAGCAATTTTCATCTAGGCAGCCAATTAATGTAAAATAAAGTGTGCTCTAAAATTTGTTAATGCCAGAAATCGTTTAAATGCAACTAAAAGTACATTGTTATTTATCTTATTATATGTTCTTCATAAAATGACATAGGTATTTTTCATTTTTTTTATCTTTTAATTTAATTCTAAGAACACCTGATCCAGTAATTAGCTATTAACGATCACCGACCAAGCCCTCAAAGTCTAGTAGTGTTGACAAAAAGGGGTGTAAGTCATCAAAACCGACTCTCCTGCAACATAATAATATAAACAGATGCTCTGAACGGGAATCCCTCTTTCATGAGAGAAAAGCCAAAATTGAACAATTCAACATCCAAAAAATAAAAATGAAATAATAAGGCATCTAAATAGAAATCCCTAAAAAAATAAAAAACAAAACAAAACAAAATACAAAAACAAAAACAAAAACAAAAACGGAAAAAAAAAATCGAAAAAACTTGAACAGACCTCTTTGCAATTGGCGATTACTCTTGTCCCCATACTCCATGATTCCCATTCGACGACGATCGGTGATGATTGATATAACAACCAGAGCTAAAAGCACTCGGACCACTAAAATTTAATCTCAATAATAACTTGGATAATCTTAACAATAAAATGAATAACAAGGAGGTAATGGTTTTGGAGTAATGGTGAACGAAAATGAGAAGGCAGGTAATGAAATGGTAGGAATTCGAAGAAAAACCCAGCTTTACCAACCAGCTCATACGTCTTCAAAACCTACCCCTTCCGATCAAAGAGCAAAATTAGCCAAATAATTAGAAAATTATTTCCTAATCCCAACTCTTCAGCCAAACTTCAATTCAATTCTCAAATTAATAAAATCCAAATATTACGCCGGATTGCAATTTGGTTAGGCAAAATTTGGGTAAAAAAAGAGAATTCTAGGGAGGGGAGAGAGAGAGAGAATAATAAAGACGGAATTTGAACGGGTTAGGAGTGGCGTCTCCAACTTTACGGCGTAATTAATAGACTTTGTGGTCCAACCCAAGTGAAAATTCGCCACGTGGAGAGGAACGAATTTCAAAATATCTCCAAATTGTGTCCTTGATTGAGTAACATTATTTTCTTGATAATGCATTTTTAATAATATATTGATGAAAAATAGATGGTTAAAAATTAAGAAACGATTTTGAATTTACTTGTAATATTTTATATTTAAGAATGTGTAAATAAAATGATATCAAATTACTGTCGAATAATTTATTTTTTTGAAAGAATGTGTGTCAAACAGGGTCTCCATGAGGGTGTTTGACCCTCTTTTATTAAAAAAAATGTATTTTAAAATAGTATATTAATGAAGAATGTGATTGAAAAAAAGTGAGAGAAAAATATATTTAAAAAAAAAAGGAATCAAGCAAAGCTTATGTTCTAGTTTTTCCAATATCTAATGGAAGCCACTTATAGATGATCGCATTTGATAGGTTCAACTAAATAATTCATGATATATTGTTTTTAAATAAATTTGTTCATTCGAGCAAGACATCATACGGTGTCATGAGAAGTGTTCCTGCTCTAACACTTATGCCAAAAGTTTTTAGTATCATATAATTGCCACCTAGAATCTAGATAGATGCTTGATACTGCTGGTATTGAATAGTATTACTATTTTCATAAAGTAGTCATAGGCCGATTTGTCATGACTATTGAAATTCAAAAGTTGTTTTGAATTTGCTTGACTAATTTTATGAGTGTGTCTCTTTTACTTGAAAGAGTTTTTACAGAAATTCATCAAATGTGACTTTTTTTTAATGCACTTTGAAGTAAGAACCTCTTTAGAAGTTAATTTCCTAATATATTCTTAATCAGCTTTTTAAGAAAATCTTCTACATAAAGGAAAATAAAAGTCATACCAAACTGGTTCATAGTCCTAATTTGATTAAAAATTAAATTTGTCGATCAATCATGTGGCCACCCAACAAAGCATGATGGCTCTACTTGACCCAATCGAACGTCTGACCCGTTAAGGCCAGAGGGCAAGCCTCAAGATAAGGTGGAGCATTTTAAACTATAACCAGCCCTTTAGCCCCAGTCTGATAATAATTACTTTTAAACTCTTTTTTCTATATATTCTCATTTTTTACCAAATATTCACACAATAAAATATTGTGCACATAAATCCAAAAATTTTATATACTTTTTAACTACATATTCTCTTAAAAATTACTATTTACTAGTCATTGTCACGTGCGTTGCACGAATGTTGTATTTATTGTATTTTATTAATGTAGAAATTGTAGATGTTAAAAAGGAAAAAAGTGTTGAAGATTTATTGCATTATTCAAGAGTCTTGTGAGCATATTATGATCAATTATAGTTGATTCATAAACATAATCATTAATTCCAACAAACATTAATATACCCAACAATAACCATTAAACCGGTATGTTAATTGTCGAAGTGATTAGATATAGCCCACCACAAGAAAGATTATTGAATATCCACTATGAACATCGGGGTTTAAAAATTTATATAGATCTAGTAGTTAAATTAATAATAGACAGTAAAACAAAAAACTTTGATGCACAATTTAAGAATATCTCACCTTGTTGTCGATCAAGTTACGTAGAGCAATCACACTTCAGATAAGGGACGAGAGATATATGACCAATATCATATCATTTGTTTTCACTGCAAGCGGAAGCAGAGAATAAATTCATCAAAGAATTGTCTTTAGAATCCTAACTAACAATGCAGATGTGAACTAGAAAATAAAGAAAATATCAATATATATTTAGCCACTTTACCTACAAAAGATTTAATTAACTCGGACACGAGATTTGGCAGTAGGTCGAACACATCCTGCAGAAATTAGGAGAAATTAGTAATTATTATCATATTCTGTGTATAATCAATTTTTGGAAATTGGAATGCTTCTACTTAAATTACTGGATTAATGAGGGTGGTTGATTAGATTTTGATATTTTCTTATTGAATAACACACATAATTAATTATTAGTTCATCCAATCATATTAAAGATTATATTGAAAGTAACTACATAGTTGATGTATTCACTTTCTTTGGAGTCAAGACCTCTTTAAATTTAAATCTATCACTCTTTGTTTAGTACCCGTGTCTTTGTAGTCTGGTTTTAAAACTCTAAAAGCAACTGTCTCTGTAATGTTCTGATCAATGTCAAGTCAGCTTAAACACGTTACTCAAACAAAATAATTTGTTCTCTAAAGGCATCCAAAATGAAATCTATAAACAAGCACCATAAAAGACTAGTATGTTTAAGAAGATAAAATCGATCAAATTCAAAGAGCTCTCCGTATGGATCCTTAAAACTAACATGCAAATTGCCATTTACAATGCTATGAAATTTTAAAAAATCTTATTGTTAAGAAGGGAAAAAAATGAAAAATCATTTCTTGCATTTTGATCAATTAAAAGTCAAACATTATGATCAGTAGCCTCCTCATCTCTCTTAAGCATTTCATCAAACATTTATCTAACTCCATTCATCCTTTTGAAGCCACATTTTGATCATAATATGTAATGAAACCAAGCTCAATCTAAAGCCCAAATTACAAAAAATCTGAATATCAAACATATATAGGGAAACGCTTGCCAAAGGATTTTTGCCAAAGAATATGAGGCAATAAATAATATGCAACCAAATTAAAAACATAATCGAGCAGAATGTTAAGAAATGTCGTAGTAGAAATTTAAAATAATTAACAAAAACTTTAAATTCATCCCAGAAATGCTATGAAATGGACTCGCCCAAAGAAAGTCAAAATCCCAACAAAAGCACCGTTTTATTTGATTTTTCTTCAATATTTTTCTTTTACATTTCGTGGTTGGAATATGGGACGATGCGGAGGAAAGAAAATTCTTGACCCTTTTTCTCTATTAGCTTATTCACTATCTTCTTGTTGCCTTTGCCATAACAATATTTTATTCTTGGATTGATTAAGAGAATTTGAAATAACATATAAAAAGATAGGAAGAAAAGAGTTGAACTGATGAAAAGAGAGAGAGAGAGAGAGAGAGCGAGGGGTTTTTGGAGATGGATTTATAGTGATGAAAAAAATAATAAATAAATAAAATTACGGAGCAAACAATGCTCTGCATACTCTTCGAACTGTGCGGAGAAGTCACTTGAACTCTCCACACAATCTGGAGAGATCATGTGAACTCTCCACACTGTACGGAGGGTTGCGGAACAGTGTGGAGAGTTGGAAACTTGAACTCTTCGGACAGTCTCACTTGAACTCTACGAACTATTATTAATTTCTCTATGGTTTTCTAACTTACAAAGAAAAATACACTATTATTAATTTATATTCTCTATTACCAGAAGGCGTTCGTAAACAACTTAATTTAAAAATTTCATAGAATTAGGAAATCAAAGAGGAATCTAACTTTAAGGATTCAACAAATTTGATGACCACTTAATAAATTCTACCAGAAATCTCATATTTCTACTTTAAAAAAAAAAAGCTAAAAAAAATTAAAAAAATTGCTAAAAGAAAGGAAAAAAAAGGCTAAAAAAAAATACTGCGGAGCAAATGTTATTGTTGTTGTTTTTTCTCTTCTTTAAATTTTTTTCTTTCTCCATTCATTTTTTTCATCATCTTTAATGCTATGGTATACAATAATAGTAAAATAATAGTAAAGAATCGACTAAAATACATCTGCACACACACTCAAATAACTGGCTGTTTCAAGAATATGGACTAAACCAAAATCTTTTTTTTTTCTTTTTTATTATCTGGTTTTCTTCACCTTATTTGCCTAACCAGCTTAAAGAGATAATATGAATGAACTAAAACAGCAGTATAATCACAAACAAATGAGAAATGTACGCTATTTGCCTTTCAACAACAGAAATGAAAATAAAAAATGGGCTTTTTTCCAACTCAAGTGATCCATTAGAACCACTACACCTTTTGCCATAATTCCTGGCTTGCCTCGTAAAATAAAATAAAAAATCATTAATCTTTCGGGAACGATTAAAATGGAATGATAATAACCCTCTAAATTGATATAAAACCACACAATAAAATCAAACCAATATATATTCAATTCATAGCAAAAATCTATATTTACTTACCAAAAACCTCGTTTCAATAATTCTTTCGATTGTTCTATGATGGAAGCTTCAAACCTCTATAAAAGAAAAAAATAGAGGGTTAGAACTTCTAGAATGTTAAGCATTGCGAAGACGAAATTAAACACCATATAGACAAAATATTTGGAAAATGAAAAAAAGAAAAGAAAAAAGAAATGAATAGAAGAAAGGGTAGAATGAAGGAAAGAAGCATGAGAGGTTGCTTTGAGAAATAGAGAAAGTCAAGGAAAAATGACCGATATGGACGGTTGCGTGATGGAAATAAAGAAGACCAAAAAAAATAAAAATAAAAACGTCATTTTGCATTTTGTGCATTAATATGGAATTCATTTACTGTTCAATGAAATAGTGCAATCTCCTTCTCATTTTTAAGAGAAGTTAGTGTTAGAAACGAAATGATAATACCCTCTAAAAAATATCGACCTAGAACCACACAATAAAATCAAATCAACATACATTCAATTCATAGCAAAATTCTATATTTATTTACCAAAAACCCTTATTTCAATAATTTAGATTTAAACTTACGTAAAAAGAAAACAAAAATAGGGAAAGTGGGGAAAAAAAGAAAGGAAAAAAAGAAAAAGAAAAAGGAAACTACTATTGGAAAAAAAAAATGCAGATGTTGTGCGTGCAAAATTTTGTATTTATCGTATTTTTATTAGCGTATGAATTTTAGTTTTTGAAATGTTTTTGAAACAATATCTAGAAATATTTTCATGATATACAAAAATAATTGTAAATTATTTTTACAATTGCATAACAATATTGTGTCATCTAGAAAAAATATGTTTGTATATTTCATGTTTGAATAAGAAATATACGATGTTATACAAACTATTT